GCAGCTACATATGCCTTATGTGTGTTACAGTAGAGAAGAGATTTGCTGTGCCAGCTTATAGCAGTCTGCCAGATTATACGCAACTGAATTTTGTAATTTTTTACAGGATTTTTTTTATGAAACATTTGATAGCTAATACTTTCTTAAAATTGAAAAAGTTTTAAAGAAGTTAGGAAAAACAGCTTTTGATTAGAAGAAAATGCCAGGTTTTAAGATAAAGTTTCATTACTGCTTGATTTGAGTGTGTTATATTGCAGAACCGTCACCATCGTTAGGTCACTGGGTATAATGAGGATGTTATATTGCCGTACCGTCACCAGCGTTAGGTCACTGGGTTTAATGTGGGTGTTATATTGCAGTACCGTCACCAGCGTTAGGTCACTGGGTCTAATGTGGGTGTTATATTACAGTACCCTCACCAGCGTTAGGTCACTGGGTCTTATGTGGGTGTTATATTGCTGTACCATCACCAGCGTTGGGTCACTGGGTCTTATGTGGGTGTTATATTGCTGTACCATCACCAGCGTTGGGTCACTGGGTCTTATGTGGGTGTTATATTGCTGTACCATCACCAGCGTTGGGTCACTGGGTCTTATGTGGGTGTTATATTACAGTACCATCACCAGCGTTGGGTCACTGGGTCTTATGTGAATGTTTTGGCTCTGTATAGACCTTGCTTGCAAAATGTAGATGTTTAATATTTGGAGATTATTCCAATATCATCAAACTACTATTTAACTTCTACTGTTTTCAATTTATATATATTTATATTTATATTTATTCACACACAGTCATGCACATACTGTCTAGCCAGGGACTTATTCTTCCATGATGATACCTTGTTTTGCCATTTTTACAAACTTTGGTGTGTATACAAATAGTGCTCGATTCATAAATTGAAAGATAAATAATATGCCCCAGCTAAGTAACACAATGACATTCTCCTACATCTACCTGTATCTTATAATATTTCCAGAGTCAGAGACAGGACCGCCCCAGTGGGTTTGTCCAGTTGATGGGGGGCACTGTGGACGAGATTGGAGGGAAAGTACTTGGGATTGATGACGGGGTAAGAAACTGTATTAAAATTAATTTTTTCAGCAGTGGATGATATGTAGCTGATTATGCTTTCAGTAAAGATCAAATTACAAAGCGATGAGATGGATGTAACCTTTGCCATTCCTGTATAGTCCTGGCCATAAGAAAAATTAGTATATTTTGCAAAACATGTTAGATCTTATTTCACATTTTCATATTTTTATTTTATTTGTGTATTTATTTTCATTTATTTGTTTATTTTGTAGTTTTGTAAAATTATTAAAACTTTACATTAATAGCTTGTATGAGTCAGTGACTTAAGGCATTAATCATCAAATATTTTTTGCACCGACAGCGAGGTCACTACCTCATGGTACGCTGTCCCACTGACAGAGAATATAATGACTGGAAGGTGGCGCTGGAGTCACAGACAGCAGACCATAGTGAAGCTACGTATGTGCGCCCAGTGCTTAAACCAACGGCACATAAAACAAGGGTATGTACATGTATATTGGGATTTTTTTTTTGATAACACGTGTAATTTTTTCTTTCTTTCTTTTTTTTTTCATTTTTTTTTCATTTAAAAGGTACTTAATTATTTTTGCAGAAATGTAAAATTTGTGAGAGTAAGTGAAACAGATAGATTTTTACATAAAATTTGATGTTTTAAGATATTAATCAGTTATCTCAACATGTTAACACTGCAGGCAGCTAGCTATTGTACACCTTTTTTCTTAACCTTCATAATAAAGATGTTAATTGATACATTCATCTAAATATTTTCATGTGTAGAAGGTGATAGTGCTGGATCTCGGCAGCTGTTCAGTGAGAGCTGGGCTACTGGGAAAGGAACGTAAGTCACTATGGGATTGATTTAAGATGAGGTCTTCCATAAAAAGAAAAAAAGACAACACATATTTTGGGGTTATATTTATGCCCTATAGACCCCCCACAACAACCACCAAAAAAAAAAAAAGAGCTGTGTGTTTTTTGCACTTGCATTTTATAGGTTTTCTTATTTTCAATTATCTCATATTTATTGTATTATCATAAAGATTATAATTTTTTTCATTTTTTGGGGGGCAATAATTGCCCATTTATCACCTGATATTTGATTTCTTTAAGATATGCATTGTTGTTTTATTTAATAATGATAATTTATTTTCTCTCCCAGCTTCCCTTCCCCAGGTATTTTTCCCCTGTGTAGTGGCTGTAAACAAGACAACAGGACAGAAGTTTTATGGATTTGATGCCTACAAACCTGATGTCAGGGACAGGTCTACCCTGGTGCATCCCATAAAGCCTTCCATAAAGGTGGACAAGGTAAGAGGCCTCATTTTATTTATTTATTTATTTATTCATTTATTTATTTATTTTTTTACATATAGTCATCCTATAAAGCATACAAAGATTTTTACAGTGTGGGCGTGTTTTCATGTTTACTGTTGGAGCACCTTAGGAAGACACTAATTTTGCTGAAGTTCTCAGATATATAGATTAAATTGAACCATGACTTAGTCTTTTATGTTGTTAAAACTTTCTTTTTATGTACAGACACAGATGTGTCTGTACATATAGCCATCATCTGCGTCTGTCGTCGCCGTCGCCGTCGCCGTGCACTTTTACCGATAACACGATAAGTGGAAAACTGTTTTCACTTTTGG